GAAGTAACAACAATGAAGTAGATGTAGGTTTTCAGTGATTTATATAACTGGTAATCGTCGTTTTTGTTGTTTCGTTGTTCCTGAAATATGTAAGTGAATTTAACATTGACGGAAATGATATTCTAAATTTACCAATGGTTGCTGATAAATTAGATGGCTCGTGTTCGGTCACTCGTATCTGATTGCGAGGCTTTGCGTGAGAAGAACGAAGCCACCACAAAGGAACTGGAAGCAATGCGAAAGCTTTTCGAAGAGAAGATCGCGGCGGTGCAAGCTGAGTGAGTTACTGAAAAATGGGAACTCTTACGCATCACCAATAATTTCAAGCTTACACTCTGGTTCTTTTGTTGATCAACGTGGTGTTTCAATAGTATTTGGTGTTCTTTTCTCCGGGCAGATGTGATTTTGGTGTCAAGTGGCGCTTTACCACGCGATCTTGAGTCGATCGTGCAGACCAAAGAAACTTCCTTTTTTCCGGGTTGCCTAGCTGTACCGTGCTCCATTGTGAAGATAAAAAACACTGACTAGTACATGCTGGGTCGTGCTATACCTTGCATCTCATTCAAGGGCTACTATTGAAACTAGCACTTGAATGAGATGCAAGGTATAGCAAGACCCAGCATGTATTAGTCAGTGTTTTTATCTGTAGGGGAAGTAGAATGCGTGGCTCATCCGAAGATGCTGGTTAATACCGGATAATCTATCTCTTTCATGCTTTTGTTAACATGATAACTCCCTAGCCTGGTGGTCGGCTAGTCTTCTAGGGTTCTCATCTTTTCTACCTGTGGCGCTGCAGGGCTTGCTCACGCTCAGTCTTCCGTTGTTGCCTGCCTCTTTCTTTTCCTCCCCCCCCTCCTGATCTCAACTCTCAGGCCATTTTGCTTTTGCTATGCATTTATTTATTACTGCTACTTCTCTGATAACCCTTCCCTCTCCTCTCTCTTCTCTGTCGTTGTTCTCTTTCCCTTCTTTTTCATTTTTTTCGGTTTTTTCTCCCTTGCCCTTTCCTTCAGCATCAGCAGTTGTTTCAGTTTGTTATTGGTCAATGTACATATTCAAACATACATATTCATATTTGACTCCGATGTACCGAAATCGGTCCATGTTTCTCTTTTAGTGGTGGTTTAGTCCGTATTTAGCTGACTAATCATTTATCCTTTATTTTTCTCACGTTCTACATTTTCGAGAATTACTTCAATTTCTCTATCCCAAACTATGAACGGCTTTGGTACAGGGTACATGACATTATGCTTCATTTCTTTTATTCGTTTGTTTTACTCAAGTTGCGATTCTCTAAGCTCTTTGTATACCAATCAAAATCTTGTTCAGACTTGCACGGGTTGTGCAAGAACGTGACGACTTGGCGTCTGAAATCAGTCAAGAGCGCGAAGTAGTGGTGAGCGCCAATAAGCTCGCTGATGATTTCAAGAAGAAGCTAGAGATGTAAGGCAATTACTAAAAATGTCATAATTATAGCAGATCTCTAGCTGAGTACGCTGTGCTGCTTGTTTTCACAAAAATTCCCTTTGGCGCATGTGCGAAAAGTGTCCTGTTCACTTTTCAGAGCATCGACAGCACTCGTTGAACGTCAAAGTGAGGTGGCGACTCTTCATCAAGAGAAAGCAAATCTTGAGGGATTGATAAATAGTAAGAGGTTTCATGCTAAGAGATCGTGTGGTCTACAGTATCTAATGATCAATTTCCCGTTCCTGACCTAAAATGGAATGCAAAGCGTCTAATTGACTGCCATCCCACGTTTTCATTGATATCCTCGTTCTCTTTTCATTAGTAAAGTTCCTCACTGGAAATCTGGCCATTTATCGAAACTACCTCTGCTTTCTTCGAGTTTGCATGGCAGTGGCAAAGTTTGGTGAAAGTGAAGAGCCAGCAGGGTAGCAGCCATTTTAGCCATAGAATTATGACAAGGTAGGTAGTACAAGTGTGCTAGTCGTAGGCCACGGTTTCAGTGAAAGATATGATAAGATATAAGTGCCTTCCCGCAACTCTACTTTGATTAGATATGAGTGTCTTTCCGCAGCTCACTTCGATTAGATAGGGTGCCCCCGAACTACATTTTCACCCTTTTGCTATGCTTGAACACCATCTTTGATAGATCGTTCTCTGGTGGAGAGCGTTGGAAAATAGTTTTGTGGCGGAATCAGAGGTTTTGAGGAATATGATGTCCATTCGAAGAGTTGCTGTATTGCAGAATCGAAAGCGGATCTAGCTGCGCTTCATGAAGTACATGCAGCCGAGGTTAAAAGAATGAACGCCGATATTTCTCTCAGAAACGACACCATAGACAAACTGTCACGCGAGGTTAGTAGGAATGGAATTTGTTTATAAGTGCTTTTTTGTGGAGCTGTGTGTGAATGGAGGTTGTTTTCTCCACTAGTTGCAATCTATTTTTTCATGAATTCTCGAAGTTGAAGACCACGTAATGAATTCGTGGCGGCTATGAATTTATGACTTTCCAGATGACAAAATATGATTTTTTGGACGGCTCCGGAGATTTATTGCATTTCCTAGGATCGCCGAGTATATGTATGAGGTCGCACGTATATCTCTTCTTTTTTTCAGGCAGAGGCAATGCAGGTGAAAATTGCGGCAAAAGAGCACGAGTGTAACGGCTATGTGAAGGAGGTAGTCTTTTGCGTATCCATAGTACTTCAGATGTGTTTTGTGCAAGATTTTGAGCTTGACTGCTTTGTTATCCGGCTTGCTTGCTTCGCGTGCAGTCTTGAAGGCACGTTCCGCTATTGGTTGATTGGACAGTCCCTCCATAAGTGAGGTA